AGAGACCACGAAAAACGATCACGTGGAAGTAGGTAAAATAGTTCAGTACCGATAATTAATAGTACTGGCTGTAACCCTACTAGACGGAAGCAATACTATGAATAGGAAACAGACCATGATTGGCTTCCGACAAACGACTAACATAAATATTAACCTTCCGAGAAGAGCAGTAATAAATTTTAAGCAGCACAGTACTGCTACATACGACGATGAAATCGAACTCTATTTGTACCAGTAGGCCGGTGACACAACGGAACGACCCGGGACTACGTTAGTGGGTCTTTAGCTGCAATTTCTCAGGTAAAAGTATCTTACACGTGCAACAAACCAAAATGCACGACTACAGTCATCATTTCGTTGCAATTTAACTTTTCTCGAGGGACGTTCCTGTTGCGCCTTTACCGTGTTAAGTGTAAAACAAGGAAGGATTGTTCCAACGAAGACCACCTTTATATAAACGATGAAAATGTCCAACTCAAGTGACCAGCAATAAGCTACGCAACAGAATGCAAGTAAACGTGACAAATAAAAAGATATTACCAAGAAGAACGCGAATTGTTGCCTTTTATTCATATGGCTTTATTGGAAAAATGTGAAACAACCGGGGACTGTAACACAGCGGCCGGACTTTGCCTATGAGGCCGGCTGATCTTGCTCCATCGGTGTAGGGACTGCAGTGGACTCTGAGGCTGCTGGTTGATCCTCCTTCTGAGTGGCTTCGAACATCTTCAGAAAATCTTCAACTGCATCATCTTCGTAAATGGTGAAATCACGATCTTTACCAACGATAGCCACGGAACAATTCTGCAGGACACGGTTGAAAATATGGTCAAATATGGTAATAAACATTTTTATGATGAAAACGAATCAAGAAGCCATCCGATATGTACCATTGCGACTAAAACGTAATAAAATCGATAATTAGCAACTTCAAGTGATGACAAGCATTACATCACCGGCACCAGTGGACTGTCGACTTGGAAGACGAGAGACACCTACTCTACCTGATGGCTCTGTGCATTTCCTCATGCCTCGTCTCCACGTCATCTGTTGACCTCCGTGTGGTTTCCTACAGCCCGGATTAGCTAAAGCGAATAAAGCGCGGTACGGTAGACGATGGCTGGGTCCTAGCCAGCGAAGTCCAGTAATCTGAATTCGGTATGCTAGCAAGTTTATACCTGACACTCCCAAACACACGACGGCTTACCTCCACGTTACTAACCCGTTCGCTCCATCCAACATGGGCTAAACTGCGAAAACATCGAAAATCGAAAACTTCTAGTTGACGAATATCTTCTACTCGCAAATTCAGGGTCTCACAACCATAAAGCAGAACTGAACGAACGCTAGCACAATGTACACGATCTTTCAGCTTCAGTAAAACGTCGCGTTTAGGCCAAAGGTGTTTCAGTCCTGTGTATGCTGCTCGAGCCTAGGAAATGACGGCGGTTATCTCTTTTGTTACGCTACCGTCATTTCACCAATTTACAAAGGTGGCTGCCGTAGTGACCCAGCCAACTACCGACCCGTCACGCTCCTTCCAGTGCTATCCAAAGTCATGGAATCTATT